AACAGTTGGAATCATTCGACGAAATCGACCCACGAATCTCTTCGTCTTGCATTTTCAATCAAAATGTTGCTTCTTCACTAAGAGTGACTCAAGAGAAGCCTCGAAACCCAACTAATCTTCGTGCATACAAGTGAAGACTTGTTTCTTGTTGGACGGAAAGGAAGTGGGTCCTTTGCATGGTATGCATGTCACCAACCTAGCATAATGAAGTCTATGTGAACTCATAGTAACGCTTTAGACAGGAAGACTTTAAGTCTTATGAAGCAGCATTTGCCATTCGGCGCCAGTGTTGACGGTGCTGGCGAGAAAGTTGAAAGGACTGGGCCTTGTGGCTAGAACGAAATGCAATCACAGTCTCTGTTATAGGCCAACAAACACACCCCTGGTAGAGCTTAACTTCACAGCTCGGACGGCAACAGTGCGACACATTGCAAGTACCTCTGGCGATATGTGAAAATGGTGAAATGTTCAATCCAATCGTGACGACCCAATCAGAGCCCACCTTGTCCGCTTTGTTCGCTCCGCCTTAGACCAATTCATGTAGTCCGTTGGGGCTAGACGTCGGTTGCTGAGACAAGCCCATGGTTGGGCCTAGTATCCAAGGCTCTAAAATTATGCAATTAACGATTGGACCGTTAATCGCTTCCCTGTTGGGCCTCTTGACGAGGCGGGCTGGAGACCGGACTCGATGCCCTCAATTGCCCCTCTGCCCTTCGAGGGGGATACCACTCAATTGATTGGGTAAATACCAACCGGTACCAGCGACGAGCCACTTTACCTCGAGTCTTGGCTGATGTCTTTTCGTTACTCAACCAGCCAACCGAAAACGGATACCACAAATTGGGGTTTTCGGGTGGGCGGCATGTTTACTGGCCGACTAGCAATTCGGCGAATTGGCGAAAAAAGTTGTTTCAATGACGATTTTACGAGATCCCCCCGTAAAACTATGGCCTCGAGTGACAGAAGAGCAAAGCGGTCGAGTCGGCCCAGACAAAGGAGGCGGGGCTCAGCTTCTGGGCCCCGACGGGTCACTGGTCGGCTGGCCAAACGCCAAACAGCCTCGTGGAGTGTGGCCAAGTGTGCGCAAGAGGCGGGCAGACGAACGTGTGCCGGCTTGATTACGTCCTCTCAAGTATCACTTACATCTCCTCGTGCACACATATGTATATATATGTATATATATATATACATATATATATATATATATATAAAGATACGGGCCTACAGAGCGGTCGCCTACCCACTCAACTATGACATAGGCAGAATGATGGCGCAATTATGACCAGTGGTCAGTAGGCGGACTCCTCTGCGCTCCACCTCACAGGCTGTTGCAGAGGCTATGAAGAAGAACTGGGTTTCTAAGTGTATATGTTGTTTGACCTTGGTTTCGCAACTTGGTCATATTATGCAACGAAAGGAGACCACGACCATACAAAAGGTCACTCTAATCT